GCTCTGGTCTCAGAAAGGCCATCAAGCCCTCTTCTGTCGGTATGGTTCCTTGAATCCATTGGTTTCTCATCCTGGAAATCATAGAAAGCTTGGCTTCTCGAAGGTGAGACAGAGCTAAAGGCCATCCAGTGGGGAGGGGGGAGGAGAGAGGAATGCTGGCAACATGCCATGGGTGGCCCGGGGACAGGCCCGAACTGATGAGGTGCTAGAGGAGGATGGAGGGGCACAGCGTGGGGAACTGCCAAAGAGAAATCTAACCTTTTGAACTATTTTCTGGGTGAGCTTCAGCAAGCCCCCCACCCCCTGCATGTGCTCTTAGCTGACAGGGGGATTTCTTTTCCCTTGGAAACATAACTGGCATCTTTCTATAGATGAGGCATGAATGTCCTTTTGTTGGAGGCTGATGGGGGAGGGTAGAAGTGCAAAAAAAGGAGACAAATACATCTGTAACCTTTGGAGCATGCCCCAGTGGATGATGGGAAAAGTTTAAAAGAAACCTGTTTTCAACTAGCTGGACTGTCCCATCTGCATCTAAGATCTACACACAAAGCTGACACAGAGAATGGCAAAGGAGGACAGAGACAAAGAGAAACTCACACACAGAAAAAACTAGCAAGGGAGACAGAGAAACTCACACTGATGGATAATTAACCATTAAGCTAACTGGCAGAAGATAGAAGCTCAGAAGCACTAAGGAAGACATGATGTCATTCTGATTTCAGGCAGCTTCCAAGGAACACTTAGCTCAGCCTCCATCCACTTGATAATGTAACACAGGAAGGTTTTTTTTTTCCCCCAGTGATCAGTAGAGGAACAGAAATTCACAGTCCTGAGCTGTACCTGCCCTTAGCCACAGCTGACCTGCAGTTTATTTGGTCCCCAGGGCTGGGGCACAGGGAGTGCCCAGCCTGTGGGAGGAACCAAACTATTATAGACAGAAGTGCAGCTTCCATGCAAATTTACAAAGAATGATTCAAAAATTAGTTTCTTAGCCTCCCCTCTACTACATACCATCCCTCCCTACACACACACCCCCCTATTCAGCATTTTCTAATGCATTTAGGAGACAGACTCAATAAATTTAGCTACATCTGTAGGTGACAGACACATCACAGTCATTAAGGGAAGTTCCACTCTTCCTTTGGGGGTTGGGGGATACCTCCACCCTTCCTAGGCTAATGTCAAGAAAGATTGTCAGCTATCTCTTATGATGTCCCTCTGAATTCTTGTCATAGGCAACCTTGTGGGTTGGATGGACCATGGAGCTAGACTGGAGAGAGGATTTTGTGCTCTTCTAAGCCAGGCAGCATGATGTGTGGAAAGACCAGAAGGGGAATTAGGAGACCTGAGTTCTAGGTCTGACCCTGTGTGATCTTGGGCAAGTCACTTTCCCTCTCTGAGTCTCAGTTTCCTATCTGCAAGAGGACGACACTGGATTACAGAATCTGTAACGTCTCTTTTATCTCTGAACATTCTCTGCATTTCACACCTGAGTTGAGACAATCAAAGTGCAAAAAGTAAACCCAGGGCTCCCACCTGTAATCCCAGCACTTTGGGAGGCTGAGGCAGGTGGATCACCTGAGGTCAGGAGTTCGAGACCAGCCTGGCCAACATGGTGAAACCCCATCTCCACTAAAAATATAAAAATTAGTTGGGCATGGTGGCGGGTGCCTGTAATCCCAGCTACTCAGGAGGCTGAGGCAGGAGAATCACTTGAACCCGGGAGGCCGAGGTTGCGGTGAGCTGAGATCGTGCCATTGTACTCCAGCTTGGGCAACAAGAGTAAAACACCCTCTAAAAAAAAAAAAAAAAAAAAGTAAACCCAGTTGAGTTCTGTGTGTCCTGAATACAAATTGAAGGAGGCATCTGAAAGGCTCCTGAGGCCTTGGGCTATAACCCTAAGTCCCTGGCCTACAAGAAAGAGCAAGACTGGCTGACTGACATTCTACCTCCCTCTGTCAAACTCCCCCAATCTAAGGGACTGAATATTCCCCTGTAGAGTGGAATGCAGTGGTAAAGGGTATGGTCTCTGAATCTGGGTTGAAATCATGGCCCTGTAACAGGAAAGGCAGGATAGTGAGGTGGCGAAGTGCTTGGGCTCAAGAGTCAAAGACTGAAGCTCAGATCCATAGGCCATTGGGTTATTTCATCTCTCTTAGCCTCAGTCTCCTTATCTATAAAATGGGAATGATAACAATAGTGCTGATTTGATAAAGCTGCTGTGAGGAGCAAATAAGATAATGCATGTAACGTGCCTAGCCTGGGCTCTTTGTTTGTTCAATACATAGTTATTATTATTATTATTATTATTATTATTATTATTGCCTACTCATTGGAGGCTTTTCTTGGTGTTCATACAATTGAGTTCACCAGGACTCAGTTGTAAATGCTTTGATGGGGTGAGGGTGGGGAACATAATGATTGGAGACAGCAAATGGGGCTTCAATACCCTAGGGATGGCCTTGAAAATTAATTACAGCGTGACTCTAACTACACCAAATCAGTTGTCCCTAGCAGGGGTTCATGTATGTGCTACCCCGGGACACAGGCAGGCAGCCCAAAAGAGGCCACACCGTTGCTCTTAGACTGAGAAGAACTAGCTGAGACCTCTCTACCACTCTCCTGCAAGGGCTGGTATGTTACAGCCCAAAAGCCTTCTATTGCTGGCCATGGTCTAGGCCAGACCTCGGACTGTCACACCGGACTTTTCTCTCTCTCCCAAAGGGCAAAGCCCTTGGCAGTCATCTCCAAGCATGGCTTTGGCATGTATTCCTTGAACAACTTCAGGCTAGCCAGAGTGTGAGGCCAAATCTTCTCCTATCTAGATCATGTGCTAGCTGCCAGGCCCTGCCATCTTCCCACAGACATGCTGGCCTCTCGCCTGCCAGCTCTGGTCCTAAGACTGCAGCAGCTTTACAAGAAGCAGGGTCACCATCTCCCCACTCTCACACGCTGCTCTGAGCTCCTTCAGAATCTGCCCTCAGAGGACTCCTCCATGAGCAGTGTCACAAGGCTTTGTCCTCTTGAAAATATCATCTTCCCAAAAAAAGCCTGTATTAAGCACTTATCTGCACGTGGTGTTGTGCTGAGTTCTGTTTCTAGTGAGTCACACTGTCACAGGCTCTGCCCTCTGGGAAAAAGTCTGGAATCTTTGCCAGAGACTGTAAAGTCCAGTTTGGCTAAGTACTGGCGTGTTAGAAGAGAAGGAATGGTTTAAAAATTCCTCCGAGGTCACTGGGTGGTGACTCTTCCACTCGTGTTCATCTCCCATCCCTCACTTTCTAGCTTCCTTCTCCCTCCTTCTTTAGATTCCCAAACACTTCATTTTTTTCCATTTAAATTTCAGATGGGCTTATTTCCCACCTTTTAAATCCAGGGAACTCTTTGGCTTACTGTAACACTTGATTTTAAGCAAATGAGAGCATTAGGTTTTTGAGGGTTTAAGAGCCCATCCGTAAAGATATTTCTACTTTGGATTACAAAGGCATGTTTTAGAAATTCTAGAATCGTATAGCCTTACATTAAAGAAGCCAGACACACTAGAGGAAGTCTTAACCAAGCAAATGTCAACAGCCCCAGGAAAGGACAAAGACAAGATGCTGCCTTTGACTTTAAAAGGAAATGTAGCAATTCCCCTTCAAAATGCAAGGGGCAAAAAAGATCACAATTTCAAAATAATGTTCTATCTTCCTGACCCTGGAGCTCTCCCTTATCAGTACTGAGCTGTCCATCTTCCTGACATCTAGTGCGCTGGCCCAGTTTCTGAAGCCATTTTTAGAACATGTTCATTTTAATAATCAAGGAGTCAGAGTCTTGCACAGTTTCAAGTGTTTCATCAGTTACTCAGCCCTTCTCTCCACGTCACTCAGAGGAGGGGCCTTGTGGTCACTTTGGCCGTTTGACCAGCAAGAAGGAGGCTTACTGTTACCCCTGACTCTGTCTAGGGTCCAACCATACGCTCAAGGAAAGGCCAGCTGTGAGCCTAGAAGAGTTGTCTTCAGTGATTCCATTGCCTTTATAGAGGCCCCCCTCTGCTCCCCTGACACAGGAAGTTGCCCTTGTTATGTCCTCCCTCCCTCCATGCCCTGCACATTGACATATTCGTGTCATATCAGGTTTCTACCTTTTCTGAATTAAAGGTGAGCACAAATGGTCAGACAAGAATATTTGCACTTAGCCTATTACATAAACTCATGGAGGGGGAGGATTGAGCATTTCCCTGGCCCTCGGTTAAGTCACTGCATTTTTACAAAGACCTTCTGAAGACAATACCAACAGAATGAATAAGGAGCAGTTCATGTATTAGATACCCCAGACAAGTAAAGAAAATACCATTCCAGGGGGCCTGTTACAATAAAAAACAAGTTTTGTTGATTACAAAGGGCTGGCTGGTGACCCTGCCTCAATTTCTTTAAAAGGGCTCATGGCTTTCTGCCAGAACCACCTCACTCCACCCCCATCTCAACTCAGCCCTAATCTTAACTATAAACTGCAATTTAAAATAAAGCAGCTTTTTCATTCTCCATGGATTTCCATCCTTTCTTTCCCTCTAATGACTTGAGGCTTAGCTGAAGTGGGGTTTTGCAGCCTATCGGCACCCAAGCGGTAGAAGAGACATCAGGATGTGTAAAGTGCTTTGGGATCCATCCCACAGACTAGGACCCAGAGATGCCTCCTGCCTCCCTCTGCCCACAGGTGCCGCTGCTCGGGCTAGGGGTCAAGGATGGGATCCAACATGCTTTTCCTGGCAGGACCTGTCAGGCAGCAGCAAAGGGTAAGAATGCAACCATTCTCGACCGCCCTAAAAAACTGAGTGATATGGGGACGGGACCCCGCTGAGAGAGGTGAAAAGGGGTGAGGAGGGGCCGAGGATCCTCGGCTCAGCAAGAGGCGAAACCGCCACGCGCTGGGACGCTGAACGATGACAACCGCTACAGCTATGCCTCGGGCGAGGTCCCCTCCCAGGTCCCTCCCTTCCTGGACCTGACCCCCGGGATCACCTTGATCTTCTCGCCCTCGATTTCCACGGTCTTCTCCCTGAAGTCCACGCCGATGGTGGCTTCAGTCTTGTCTGGGAAGGTACCCCCGCAGAAGCGGAAGGTCAGGCAGGTCTTGCCCACGTTGGAGTCCCCAATCACGATGATTTTGAAGATGCGAATCTGCACGTACTGGTCCAGCGACGAGTCAAGCTCCAGGGACGCCAGGCCAGCGGCCGAGGCGGGCTCCAGGCTCCCATGGCCCAGGATGGGCTGCGCCATCTCCCCCGGACCGAACCGGGGCCCCAACCCCCCTCGAGGGCTCCACACAAAGAGAACGTCCACGTTCGTGCGCTCGAGGCGAGCGAGCTCTGTGCGCGTGTGTGTGCGCGCGTGTGTGTGTGTCCGCCCGTGTGTGCGTGCGCCGGCACCGTGTGCGCGCGCGCGTGAAGAGGGTGCCTCTCATTCCGGGCCCCCCTCCTCCTCCTCCAGCGCACCCTCCTTGCAGCTCGGAGGCACCAACACAAAAGCCAGGGAGAGGAGGAGAGAGGGAGGAGAGTGGACGAGCACCGAGCCTTCTGCCTGTGTGCGCCCTCGGACCGGATGCTCTGGCGAAGGACCCTACGGCGCTGCTCCAGCCGCCGCCGCGCCTCGGCCCACACTCTCCCCTGCCTGCACCCCCGAGATCGACCGGAGGGAAGAAGCCTCAGGAGGAAAGGGAGGGGGTGGGGACAGCAGCACACGCCACCCCGGGATAGACTTCTTTCTCCTTGCCCCCATTTATGTTATAGGTTTCGGGCTCCCCACCCCGACTGGCTCGGAGCGCACGGGATCAGCGGGCAGGGAGCGCAGCTGGGGAGGACAAAGAGCTGCACCCTAAGGCATCACTGGATCACTTCGGCCTCCCTGGAGCAACGCAACTCTGCAGAGATGGGGTGGGGGCTAAGGCACCTCTTTCACTTCGGGAGCAGCCGGCAGCTGAGCCGCGCCTTCCCGGTCCCCGCTACCCCGTCCCCTCTACCCCCACCCTCTACCCGACCCGCGCCTTGGGATAAAGGGATGTTCTGTTTTATTGAGTGAGCAGGTGCACTCACGGGCCCCAGGCAGCCTGAGAGGGCGCTGCCAAGACACGCAGTGGGTTGTCCCGGGCCTGCACAGTTGAGAGGAGGGAGCCAGCGGGCGCGCGTGTGCGTGTGTAGGGGGTGTTACTGTTTCTGTCACAGACTTGCCAGATGTAGGGGGGCGCGTACCAGGCGCCAACATCCCCTCATCACACCACGAGCACCCATCCTCTGAATGTTCAGGAGAGCGGCTCCTATTGGCTGCCGCAGTCGGTTGTGTTTGGCTGGCCAATGGGGAAGGCTCGCCGCGGGAGAGGGCCACACAGAGGCTAGGAGAAGGGGGGAAGCTAGTGGTGGCAGTTCCAGCAAAAGGGGACTTTGTTTATGGGGCTAGCCATTACTGGCCCAGGTGGAGGATCTTGGGACATGGCATAAGCTCCACAGTGCCTTCCACTCCCAAGCCCTCCATATAACCGTAAGTCCTTCCAGAAGGGTGGAGTTTCAGAGGGAGTTGGGAATCCCTAGGAGGGTTCACTCCCCCTGCAGCTGAATGTAGAACAAAGTGGTTGAGTCTAATTTGCCAGAAGCCTAGATTATGCTTGGAAGATGATAAATGAACACAATCTCCTTACAATATTAGGGGGCTGCTTCCCAAAGCTTACTAATCATCACACACATCTTGGTCAAGACCAGTATTCCCTCTCCCTAAAGTCATCCGCAGATTCAGAATTTGTTTGAAATCGACTTTATTGGGGGTACAATTTACATATGATAAAGTGCACCCATTTATTTTTAAGACTTCATCTCTCCCCCTACATATTTCATAAGCTAAGGTAACACTGACACATGTCACTAGCACTGACTTGTGAGTTATTGCTAATGCGATCAAGGTCAGGGATTCAAGCATCACAGTTGAGCTGCCATCTTATTTGGGAGGCTGAGCTGCAGGAAGAGACAAATATGACCAAATCCATTTCTGCTGAGAGAAAAACAGTTTAGTGCATAAGTGATATATGTGAGAGCAAACTGGAATGTAACTACTCAAGGACGTCCAAGTTACTCAGAATGGCGTCTTCCAGTTAATAAGTTTATAAGCTGAGCTAGCAGATATATTTACAGCTATATCATATATGCAGGTCGCCCATTCCTAAAACCCTAGATTATACTACTCAGCATTAAAACTACCCAGATAAGGATTTAATCTTAGTTGGCTAATCCAAAATCATCCTTATGAATACCAGTTTTCATTGTATTATGTATCAATCATCATTGTACAGTATTTTTGGTTTTGGTTTGCTGGATCGTTCCCCTCTGTATTGGAAGCTAATGCTCCTGATGATCTTTATCTACAGCATAGCTTTAAGGCGGAGAGGGGTAACTATTAACTAGGCACATCCTGTACACAAAGTAGAAAGGGGCTTTGCCCTTTGCCAACCCACAGCTAGAATTAATGCCAACTTCCTGAGAGATATAAAAAAATAAACATATGTACATAATAAGATTATTTCAATGTATGCTTCTAGCAAAAACTTGTCACTGAGTCTACTTTTGTAAGGAAGAAATTTTGATTTCTGAAAATATGATATCTCAAAATGGGCTTCTTGCCCTAATAAAAGGTGTCTGTTACTTCTGTGGGGTGAGACTTTGGAGGACTTCCACTTATATTGTTTGGAATTAATTCAATGAGTATATATTGCTTTTGCAAAAAAAAAGATAAAAATATAATTTTTAATTAAAAGGACAGGAAAACTACCGTATTGTACCTATTGTAAAAAAATTAAACGTACTATATAATGCCTTTTGTGTTAATTGTGCATTATTAAATTACTGACTTTCAAATACATGCAGTTGTTTTCATAGGTACCTGATTATCATGATTTTGACAGTGTTTTCCAGTCCCTTTCGCAATCAGATATAATTAACTTTGTATTTAATCAATCCATGATCACTGGTTTTTAGAAATATCAATAAAAATCAATGTCTGCAAGGCTGTTAAAATACTAAGTAAATATAAATAATTTTTACGTTACTCTGGAATTGATATTTTCAATATTTATCTCCTGGCCTAAAGTGATCCACCCTCCTCGGCCTCCCAAAGTGCTGGGATTACAGGCATGAGCCACAGTGCCTGACCATATTTTCAATATTTATCCAAAGGAGCTCTAGATAAAATGTCACCCATTGCCTGCACTTCTGAACACTGATCTACTCTGCTTAATGGGTAAGGGAACCCTGGATCATTTTCACCCAATAAAGACTACTTCCTAGGCCTGGCACAGCGGCTCACACGTGTAATCCCAACACTTTGAGAGGCTGAGGTGGCAAGATTGCTTGAGCCCCGGAGTTCAAGACCAGCCTGGGCAACATAATGAGACTGTCTCCTAAAGAAAACCAAAAAACAAAACTGCTTCCTTGGTTAAACTTCATAAAAGAATGTCTTTGTAGGCCGGGCGAGGTGGCTTATGCCTGTAATCCCAGCACTTTGGGAGGCTGAGGCAGATGATCACCTGAGGTCAGGAGTTCAAGACCAGCCTGGACAACATGGTGGAACCCTGTGTCTACTAAAAAGACAAAAATTAGCCGGGCATGGTGGCATGCGCCTGTAATCCCAGCTACTCGGGAGGCTGAGGCAGGAGAATTGCTTGAACCTGGGGGGCAGAAGTTGCAGTGAGCCGAGATCTGCCACTGCACTCCAGCCTGGGTGACAAAGGGAGACTGTCTCAAGAAGAAAAAAAAAAATTATCTCTTTTTCTTTTTTGAAATAGGGCCTTGCTCTGTCATCCAGGCTGGAGTGAACGGGAGCAATCACTGCTCACTGCAGTCTCAGTCTCCTGGGCTCAAGTGATCCTCCCATCTCAGCTTCCTGAGTAGCTAGAACCACAGGCACATACTACCACGTCTGGCAAATTAAAAAAAAAAAAAAAAAAATGTTAGAGATGAGGTCTCATTATGTTGCGCAGGCTGGTCTGGAACTCCTGGTCTCAAACAATCTTCCCACTCATCCTCCCAAAGTACTGGGATTACAGGCATGAGCCACTGCACCCGGCCCTGTAATTTCATTCTTTATCCCCATCCCACCAAAATAAATAAATAAATTAAAATAAGTAACTTCATTACCTGCAAAGTTAGGGCCAAACTCTTTTCCCAGTTCAAATCTGGCCCCACCATACTTGCCTGTGCTTATCACTGCTTCTTTTTCTTTTTTTTTTCTTTTTGGAGACAGTCTTGCTCCATCACCCAGGCTGGAGTGCAGTGGCACAGTCTCGGCTCACTGCAGCCTCCACCTCTCAGGTTCAAGCGATTCTCCTGCCTCAGTCTTCCTAGTAGCTGGGATTACAGGTGCACCCCATGGCGCCAGGCTAATTTTTGGATTTTTTGTAGAGACGGGGTTTCACCACGTTGGCCAGGCTGTTCTTAAACTCCTGACCTAAAGTGATCCACCTGCCTAGGCCTCCCAAAGTGCTGGGATTACAGGCATGAGCCACGGAGCCTGACCACATCAATACTTCTTAGTATGATGTCCCCTGAAAATGTGCTGGGGTTTGTTTTTTCTTAAACACTTCCAAGCCTTTTCATTTAACAAACAGCATGGTGCTTCCTCTATGACACTTTACAAATATTAGCTCATTTAGTCTTCCGAACACCCTCATGAGATTGGTAGATGAGGAAAATGAGGCACAATTAAGTGACTTGCCCAGGTGGCAGAGCCATGATTCAATCTGGGTTAGTCTGGATCCAAGGTCAACATGTTTAACAATGAAAAATGTTATCTTTGGTCCCAAAGTATTCATCATCTGAAATATCATTCCTTTTCCTCCACGATTTGAATTTTACTACTCATCCTTCAAGATACAGCTCAAATAACTTCTTGTATGAAGTTCTTCCATAGCGATTCCATCCCATAGTCTTCTCTCTTGCTCTGTCCGGCACGACACCGGATATTAATTTCAATGACCGGTGTATGTCATCTCCCCAACTAGACAGTGGCCACTTCCTATACAGATGCTACGTCCAAATAAACCCATTGTAAATTGAAAATATCTTAAGTCAAAACTGCATTTAATACCCTGACAACCCATCATAAAGTAGAAAAAACGTAAGTTGAACCATGGTTAAATCCAGATGCTCCTCGACTTACATGGGGTTAGGTCTCATTAAACCCATCATAAAGTCGAAAAATTGTTAAGTTGAACCATTGTGAGGGGTACGTTGGGGACCATCCGTACTTTTCATACCCACTAGAGCCCCTTTTATAGTACAATCCAAGAGGCAAATGCTCAATAAATACTTGTTAAATGAATATGTAAGTTGACTATTTGAAACAGGCACATTTCATGCTCTGCATGCAGCCAAAACATTATTTCCAATTTAGCTTATATCTGGCAGAGTCAAAACACCTATTTATACTCAGCCCCTCACCCTACTCCCATAACTGAAAGTTCTGCTTAGAAGACTTCTCTTCCCATAAAGTCTGAGAAGCACAAACGCTTTTTGCTAACATCCTGCTCCCAAGCATCCTGAAACCACAGCAGGAGACCGTGTGTATCTGTAGCACCTGGTACAGCATCTAGGACACACAACTGCACTAAAAAATAAAGGTGACAGGCGGGAAGGAGAGCGCCGAATTACTCGTCCGCGAAACGGGTTGGGTGGGAAAGAGCCGGCAACTGGTAAAAGATGGCAGTACACGCCGGATCTGGGAAGCCAGGTTCCGCGCCTCGGACTCATGGAAAAAGTGGATCTGGATCATAGCAAAAGAATCAGGAAGGCTTCAGTATCAAGTAACTAGTGGCCTAAAACCAAAAAACAAAGTGCGGTGCTGGGGCTACGCTGCTGTGAGATGCTGTTATCAGTTCCTGTCACCAACACAGCGACAGCACCAGGCACAACCGCCAATCAAAGCGGCCCCACGAGTCCCTCCTTGGACAGCTTCCTTAACTCGTTCAGTCCAACACCGTGCCACCAACTCGCGAATACTGGCTACCTAGAGCCAAGGTCTTTGCGAGCGTGCAGTCAGGTAGTGCATGCGCAAATCCTCTCGCCGTGCGGACCAATCGCAATGTGGCAGC